TCATAGCAAGAGTATTTAAGCACACAACTAGGTTGTAATCCTTGAGGGTTAGATTTTCAGGAACACCCAAGTCCCAATGGGTACTTTAGAAAGTTTTACCCTGCACTCCTGCTGCCAATAATATATATGCTTCAAGAAATAATTAGAGGACTTCTGCTTTAGGTGCTTTTAACTGGAAACCAACACAAAATTCACTTTAGGGGAAAAACAGAACAGTCCCTGGGCATTCTAAGGTGTTGCATAAGCCTGGGGAAGATAAAGGTTCATTTCTGGTCAATGGAAACTGAAAGTCAGGGTAAAAAGTGCTTACTTTTAACACAGGGGTGGGCAAACTACGGCCCGCGGGTCGGATCTGGCCCATCAGGGCTTTGGATCTGGCCCGTGGGATCTGCATCCCCACACCCCACACTCCCTCCCGCACCCCAACCCCCTGCCACACCCCTCCCGCACTCCACACCCCCTCCTGCACTCCAACCCGCTGCCCTGAGCCCCCTTGTACACCCCGCACCCCTCCTGCACCGCAACCCCTTGCCCCGAGCAACTTCCTGCACACCGCACCCCCTCCCACACTCCCTCCCACACCTCAACCTCCTGCCCCAGCCCTACATTCATGGCCCTGCATGCAATTTCCCCACCCAGATGTGGCCCTCAGGCCAAAACGTTTGCCCACCCTTGGGCTAAGAGGAGTAGTTTGTTTTTTCCCCTTCCAGGAGACATTCACCAGTTTAGAGGTCAGGTGTGAATGGAAAAATCAGGTCACCAAATGCAGGGATTTAGGACTGGTCTACACTCAAGCTTTACCAGTATAACTATGTTAGTAAGAGATATGATTTCCCCTTCCCCCAACATAGTTATACCACTAAAAGCCCTAATGGGGATGCCGTTGTAGTAGTAGAAAGGTGCTTTATATCGGTATGGGATATTTCACTTCCCAAAGCAGAATGAGCAATACTAGTATAAGCACTTTTATACCGGTATACCTGAGTCCACGCTAGGGTGGTAGGGCTGCTGTAACTTTAACAGCCTACTTAAAGCAGCAAAACTTTCCAGTGCAGACAAGGGCTTAAACAAAGTTCATGTGTAATCAGCTGTGTCATATTAACCAAATGGCAGCTCTGGTAAGAAAAAGGCAGTGTGGGGCATGTCGGGTGCATATCAGCCACGTGACCATGATGTTAATGCGCACGGGGCTCTCCCACAGTTACATTTTGGCTCTGTCTCCACTACAGCTTAGGTTGGATAACTGATGTCGCTCAGGGGTATGAATGAACCCCCCTTCCCCCCCGAGCGACGTGAATTACACCGAAGTAAGCGCTGGTGTGGAAAGCCACCGCTGCTCATTTGGGGTGGATTAATTAAGTTGACGGGAGAGCTCTCTAACGTAGCCATAGCATAATTGTAATGTTCTCTTGTGAGTAAAATAGAAACAATTGCAAAAAGTTAACTTGGGATCAAAAAGAGCTTTCTTTGGCTGCACTGGGCCCATGCCAGGGTGGACTCCCACTTTAAGAAGTGTTAGGTTAATGAAGTTCCAAAACAAAGTTACAACTGATGTTATTTCCAAGGTTGATCTGTGTCCTGGCCAGCACTGGCTGTTGCTTCCCCTTTTCAAATAGTTAGCGTCTTATACACTTTAAGGTCAGAAATGACCATCTAGTTCTCTCCTTTGAAGTTCCTGTATTTATCAGTTTCCTTCTCTCGGGTACTACTTATTTGCCAATTTGCCACACCTTTGCCTAATTCTTCTTGAAGCAACAGACCACCTTGACACAAGGACATTATAAGTAACTGTGATTGAATTTCAACACAGTGAGCCTAGTTTTCAAATGTGGGAGACTTAGTAGGAGGTCCATATTCTGCACTGGGAGGCTGAACTTCTCACGGAGACATAGAGATGGCCACTTAATTCATCCAAATGTGGTGGTTGGACATCCTGAGAGGATCCCCACATTTGAATATGGGGTTCTTACTCAACTAGAGCTGGGTGACTAATATGATAATGGATTTGCAAATGTTTTGGGCAATGGAAGTCAAGAATTCAGTTTACAGTTAACTTATGGGGTCAGAGACAGTGTTTGTGAGTATTTGGAAGGCTGTTGTATAGCTGTGAAAAAGTTTGAAAATCCTGAATGTTTTGCATATTTTAGCCTGGGGATGATTAATCTAGATATTCAGACCAAAGTGAACTATTCACTGTCTGCTGTTATTAGTCACTTGTTATTTTCTTGTTTAAACATTCAACTGGGGAGAAGAAATAATGCATTGTGACGCAGATCAAGAACCACAGCCAATAATAGAGGTTGATACCCATAGGCTGAAATTTGTTCCCATAAACGACTAGGCAATTAAGTAAGACATTCATAGAAATAAGGATTGGTTCATGAACAATCTGAGAGTAGAAAAAAGAACTAGAGCTTCAACAAATGTTAGTCACAATGAGTAACGCAACCTGCCATATACCCAACCAAGTGGCAGGGTGACCTTTTCCCCTTTAAAAGTTTATTTGCCACCTGGAATTTAGAGGCAAAAAGGCTTCCCAGCAAAACTTTAAGTGGGATATGAAACCGATCAGTGTCAGCTTTTCAAAAGGCTGAGGAGAGGGGCATTGTGCATAAAGACGGGAACTTGGGTTGAAATCTGCATAACACATTTTATGAACTGGGAAGTCCAGATCTGAACATTTCCTTAACTTTTAAAGATTGAGTTCTGATGGGGCGAAAACAAGAACTAACTGCAGGAGCAGAAAGAAAAATTAGATGAGCACGTGGGAAAAGCAAGAACTAAATGTTTGATTAGAAATCACCCTCTCTTCTGGGGCAGGGGAGTTTTTGCCAGCTTGCCTTTGTTTGTTAAGCTCATGCTGGATACCATCATTCAATCACATATGCCCGTCAATAAATATCTGCTGCATTTTGACAAAGGCAGGGTTCATCATTTTATCATTTTGGTTTTGTTACGCCTCTCACCCCATCTCTGCTGAGCTTTCAGGGGCAGAGACCTTGTATCCATAGTTTTCTCTGAAGCATCCACTAGAACAATATTGGTGCTATATAAACAGTCAGAACTACTAATTGTGTGACCTTCTTTGAAGACCATCAGCGTATGCCTTGAAGATAAAGTTTTAACCCTATTTTTTGGCACAGCGTTTGACTGCTACCCCACGTACCCAACACAAAGCAGGTACGACACATGTAAACGTGTACTGAGGTCTGGGCATACATGGAAAGCTGTGTGCCCTGCTAAGGGCAGAAACTGAAGAGATTTACAAACGTGTACACCTCTCAGATACAATGGTGATGAGCGGAGTCCCAAAGCCCAGATACCGACCTTAATACAGGAAATCCCTATGGCCCGTGTTCTACAGAAGGTCAGACTAGACAATCACAATGCTGCCTTCTGGCCTTGCTCTGTGGAATCTCCTGAATGAGAATTCAGCCTTTGGAGAAGGAACTTTAAACTCCAGCCAGGGCCCTATAAGAGCCATTCCTTCAGGAGGTGCACTGAGCCTGTGCCTTCAGTGGGAATTGACCGGAGTAAAAATGGAGTGAGGGTCTAAGGATCTGGCCTGATCATTTTGATGAACCTCCCTCTCCCATGTCCCATTAACAAAATCAGAAAGCGCAAGGACAAGGAGGTATCGGCCAAGGCAGCAAACCACCGATACTGTTTGTAAGTCCCTTCATTGCAGAGAGTGAGGGAGGCTTGATCCATGTGGCTTGCTATTACAAAATGATGGATGAATTAATATCACACAATACAGATTCACTGATTGCCAACGGAAGTCCTATGAGGAGCTACTTTAGTCTTTAATACTTTAATAAGGAGCATTATTCACCACACTGTTGAGACAGGCCAACTCCCTTAATTTATGGGGGATGCGCCACATTTGGATGGTCCACTGCTTCTAGCGCAAGTTTTAAAAATGCTTGTTGCTGATGAGGTTTCAGCCTCCTGTTTTTGATGATGCATGTGCCTTGCCTCCCACTAAATCTGATCCGAGAAAGGAAACTGGATCTATCAGTCAACACTAAAGAGAAAGGAACCTGAGTAGAGACTGGAAAACATTAGCAGATTTCCTTCTCTTCATAAGGCTCATCCCTCTCTCCAGTTATCTACTCTGAGTTTGAAATGAGTTGTGTATTCTGATCACCTACCGGTGATGCTTGAGCCTACTCAAGAATCAGGGTCCAGAGAATCTTATTACATGAGTTCAGGGGACCAACTCCCCCTTGCCTCAGAAACCGCTCCTCCTCTGTGATGTGATCTCTCTCAGGGGATGCCTACACTAGAAACGTAAGTCAACCTATATTAGGTCGACTTGCAGCCACTGCAGTAATTACTGAGGTGGTGCATGTCCACACTACTCTCCTTGGGTCAATGGTGCGCGTCCTCACTAGGAGCGCTTCTACTGACCTAAGAGGGGCAGTGTGGGGAGCTGAAAGCCTGGTCTCTTAAGCTCTGCTGGCAACTCCCTGCTGGGAGTCCGGCTACACCACAGGCTCCTGGAGGGCTTCTCCCCAACTCATTCCCCATCGGGAGCTGGGAGGGGAGGCCACCTGGGCTTCTTGCCCGGCTCACAGCCGGGAGCAGGGTCCAGCCACCCAGCTCTCCAGGGGCATATTTCTTGTCAGATTTCTTGTCAATTTCACAACTCCACATCACCCTAACTACACTGATATAAGCCTTATGCCTCTTGTGGAGGGGGATTTATGATGTCGGTGTAGTAGGGCACTTCCACTGGTGAGAGGAATGCTGTAGTGTAGACACTGACATAACTGGGTCCATGTAAACTGCCTAACCATGTAGTGTGGACCAGTCCTTAAACTTTGTGGCAGGGCCCAGACACATTTCACTTTGTATGTGACGCTGTATTATTGCAGAGAAGAAAATTCCACAGTCCACTAAGGAAAAAAATATAGACAGGGTTGCACAATAATATCAAAGCATAGGAAAAGGGGTTTTGGTAAACTTATTTTTTATTTTAAAGTAACATTCCTGTAAGCAAGATATATTGTACACAGCTCTGTATGGGCTACTGTTCATCCACCACATTACAATATGTAAATGTATGGTGCAGGGGTGTGTTGTGGATCCTTAAGAAGAAAGAAGTGCTCAGTACAAATAAAAATCAATGCATCAGACATGGTTCTGTATAACAGACAGTAAAGGATGGAAGCCATTATGTATCTACATATAGGACAGTTAACTCTGCAAGCTGACTTCCTGTCAGAATATTACTGTGGCTAATGCATGCTCCTGCTTTATATTGGTATATATTTCTATACTTCCATAGAGCCTTATGTCTGAGGATCTAAAAGGACTTTTGAATATGAATCAGTCTTCAGAATACTCCTGAGAGGTCAGTATCATTACCTCCATTTAATAGATTGGGAGACTGTGAAACCGAGAAACAGAGAGGTTAAGGCCCAGATCCTCAAAGATTTTCATGTGCCTAACTCCTCACTTTAAGGATCTGGGCCTTAGTGATTTGGCCATGGTCATGAAGGAGGTCCAGGGAAGAGCTAGGAAGAGTGCAGGGCATAGTCTCTTACGTTTATGCTTTAACTTCCACTATCCTTCCACTCTGTGTAGAATACATGATTGCTGGATACCAGACCGGCCAGGTTACCCAAAGATTTACGCGTGTTTGAATGACTTGGGTATTTCATTGTTTTGTAGCAACTGGATTTCCTGGTTTACTTTTGGCCTTACTGGTTATTAAAGATTTAAGGAAAAATGACTTGCCTCATTAATGCATATTTTTAAAATAGGTAAAGAAACCAACAGTTTTACAAACACAGAAACAAAGAAGCAAGTCCCAGTCATGGACAACAGCAGCACAGGCTATTGGAACTTATGGAATTAAGACATCTTGTGCCAGACAGCAGTGTATCCGTGCCCATTTCTACACCGTCTTAGGCACATTCCACACCAGCATCTTCCATGTGGCTGCAGTTATGCTCCCCCCAGTCGCTTTTTTCACAGTCAAAAATGGAGGCTTCTGTTCCACTGCACTCCACGTCATCAAGCCAAATTGGATTAGAACCTTTTTTGGGGGTGTGTGGTTAAAAATAAAAAAAATAAAAGTAAAATAAGTCACTGTACGGCATGGGAAACAAATATACAGTCACCCAAAGAAATCTGTAATGTGAATCACAAAGAAGATATTCTTTAGGTTTCACACTTCCCTTAGGGCTAGACTGAGCCTTAAGGCACAGCTCTATGTCAGGAGCGGGTACCTGTGTCACCCCACAAGGCGGCCTGGGAAGGAACTGTGACTGAGTCACATTTCTCCTCCCTGCTTTGCCATGGCTCCCAAGAGAAAGTAACTTATTGCAGCCTTTTAATGGGTGTAGCTGACTTCCCCTCACACCAGCTTGGCATTGTGGGCTGGTGCACTGGGGGCTGGAGTCAAAACTTAACCTATTCCCGGCCCTCCCTCCACCCATCTGCAGGCGAATGGGAACAGTGGGCCTGCAAAGGCTGCTCTTCCCAGTGCTCAGTGACCAGGGGTGGCTCTATGTGTTTTCCTGCCCCAAGCACGGCAGTCAGGCGGCTTTTGGCAGCGCGCCTGCGGGAGGTCCGCTGGTCATGCCGATTCGGTGGCATGCCTGCGGAAGGTCCGCCGGTCCCGTGGCTTCGGTGTACCCGCAGCCAAATTGCTGCCGAAGCCACGGGACCGGCGGACCTCCCGCAGGCATGCCGCCGAAAGTCGCCAGCCTGCCGCCCTCACAGCGACCAGCAGGCCGCCTCCCGCGGCTTGCTGCCCCAGGCACGCGCTTGCTGCACTGGTGCCTGGAGCCACCCCGGTCAGTGACCTGCAGTGCAGCTAACTCAGATGGCAGGAAAGGACTCTTTGTACAGGTTACATCCATTCTGGCTCACAGCAAGGAGTGAGGAAGAAGCCTCCCCTGGTGCACCTTTACCACCGTGTGTGTCCTGGTAAGAGCAGGTCACAATCCTGTCTTTTGTTACCAGTGAAAAACAGCACAAGTCCCCCTCCCCCTAGGGAATACATAATGAATTCCTGAAACAAAACAAAACAAAGGAGGGGAAGGAGCTGGCCGGATTGCAATCAAAGTTGTCACCTGACATGTTGGAGGTTGTCTCTCAGCTTGAATCTCATGCACTTTGCTGCACATATTGCCCATAGTCCCTTCCAAATGGAAGGGATAACACTTACTTAAGAGGCCTTTGGGTACCCTGCTGCAGAGAATTACACTTGCCACTAATATAGGGCATAGCTAAGACAGTGCAGAGATTTAGGTTAGGTGGTTTCATCCAAACAATCTCTACTCTTTGGGTCTGCAAAACTGAGCTGGAAATTTTGCAAGAACAGACTTTCTAGTACTATTGTGGCACTTCTGCTTCCAGCTTTGGCTAGAAGTAGGAAGTGCAGGGGCACATGGAAATGAGAGATCTGAGAGGAAACAATATTAAGTGAACTTTTGTGAACTTTGGAAAAGTTGAGTGAGTTCAGGTTGTGGGTAAAACTTGAGGGTGGGTGGAGGATAGAAGGGTTTTCATTTTAATTATAATGATTCACCCCAGTGATCGTCTCCAATCAGGGATATGTGCACTAATCCCAGCAATCCTATTTTTTTTTAGAGAATTCTCTAAAAAACTTTGCTTCTGTTGACTATCCGTGTATCTGAATGGCTTGTGCCCAGTTGTCCCAGAACACTTCCATTCAACTGTTCTGTAAGTTCTTGATTGCTGGGTAATTATTCTATAGGTTATGATACTGCCCTCTCTGCTTTAGCAGAACACCCATTTGCTTCAGTAGGAGTTTTGTCTCGGTAAGAGTGGCAGGGTCTGGACCAGTGGGGACACATGGGGCAGGGTCATCCCCAGATTTGCTGCTTGGCTTATACTGAGCATGCTCATACGGACTGTGCATGCTCAGTAACACTGCTGAAGCCGGCTGCCCTGACTCCGCCCCCCGCCATCGGCAGGGATGGGTTGCCTCTGGTCTGGACCATCATAATTTCTCTTTCGGAGGCCAGTGGGGTGGGTGGGTATTTTGACAATCGGGAAATAGAAATAGCAGGGGATAAAAGGGACAAATGGAAATTCTAGAGTTATCCTCTGAGGCGGCATGTCTGGAAAGCCCATGCAGCTCACCTGTAAATGCAAGTATCTCAGTATTCACCATCAAGAAACCATATACTTTGTACAACCTTAGACTGTGATCCTGCACTTGGAAACAATTTTAGGACTTCCTACTGTGAAGAGCAAAAATCCCGTGCAACAAGAGCGGCACCAAACAAGTGTGGCACCCTGGACTGAAAAAATTCCAGCTATCTGAATACCTGGCTGTAAGTGGCTTGGGTGCCAGGAGGCCATGAATACTGTTCCTGTAAAGGTTGAATCTTGCATTGAACACCAGCCACACTATATAAAATCACAGATCACAATTTGGGATCGGGAATGTAATTGGTGATTTGGGTGATTAGTTATTAACTTACCTGGAGATACTTTTATGGTGCGAAGTGCATGACTATATCCCAGCATTTTGCAGACCACGGTTCCATCTTTTTTGTCCCATTTATCATCACATATTGTTCCCCACTTTCCTTTGTACATAATTTCGACACGGCCCTCCTTAGCTGTTCCAACGAGCCTTATGTTGGGGTTGGAGTAGCGTTCCGCTGATGGATTATGTGGTTATGAAATAATTGCAGCAATTATACACAAGGAAAATAAGATGTTTGCATAAGAAAAAATGACAGAAGAATAGTGTTAAACCCCACAACACAAATGAATGGTCACACCTAAATGAACATGGCTACATGGAAACAGGTTGCTGTTGTAGCAAAAATGAGATCAGTTCAGGACCCTGTGGTAGATATGATGAACACAGGCATAGCTTGAGACTACTGAATCAATGTTAGGCCTGTTATTCGTACAGGTTATATGCATTATTGTGGGCTTGGGATTGTATTCTACTCCAATGGGGAGGGTTACTGCAGCTCATCCAGGAACTAAAAACAGTGGGGTGTGATTACTGCAGTCCCTGGGACCAGTAAACAGTTCCAGAGAAGTACCACTCTCTGTGGTGGTTTGCATATACTGGTTCAGATTGTGTTCAAGAGACCCAGGAGACTGGGGTATAAAGAGACAGGCTTTTATTCTGAGGCAACAAATGGGCTTGACCATTTGTCCAAAAAGGGGGCGGCGTATCAAACCCCATGGAAGGACTGGAACATGCCGGGATGTCACAGGGGACCACTGGTAAGCTTAATTATGCATTTAGACCTTTTATTGTTTTATACGTTGTTTCTGTACGGCTCTGAGAGAGCTGTTGGTTACCCGTAACCACTGGCACATGCCGTTCATAGCCCTTGGAGAGAAAACAAAGCACAGAAGCTGGACACTAGTCAGACCTGCTGGGATAAGCAAGGACACTGCAGGGAGGTGGGTTGCAACCGAACAACCCTGCTCAGCAGGAAAACTGATGCAGGTCCCTGCCCAGAGATTGGTGATGGTGAAAGGCCTCCTTGAGCAGACCCGGAAGGGCTCAGAGGTGCAGTTACTTCAGAAGCGTCACTGACAGCCCTGATCCTGCAAGCTCTTAAACACTTGCTTCACTTTATGCACGTGGGAGGTTCTGTTGACATCATTGGGACTATGCAAATGGTCAAAGTTAAGCATGTGTCCTGGGTATACACTGGGTTCTATATTGTACTGGTGTTACATGGCAAGCTATGAAGATGAGATAAAGGTCTAGTACCTGGTTCACCCCTGTCACCTTTGTTCCCTGGAAGTCCTGTTCCAAATTAAAAAAAGCAATCATTAGACACACTTTCAAGGTAAAGTATAATGATTACCATTATGTCTTATACTTGTGTTGATGCATGCAAATGTTCAAACAAAACTCCAGCCCCCTCGCACATTTAGAATTTGAAATGTACTCCTGGAATTAAAGCCCTGATGCAGTTAAGCCCCTGGGACAGCTTTGGAACTCATGATAGCAGCATGTTAAAAGCAGCAGGAGTATTATGAACTGCAGAGTATTCGCAATGCATAACACTGGTGAAAAGGTCCTGTGATGGTGTATATACATCAGTGTGCAGAATCCAGCTATATTAAGTGGACAGTATTTTACTGGTGCTGCCATGCATATAATACGTATTTTAAATGTTAAAAAAAACAGCTCCAGAGAAGACATTTTAAAAATGTTGTTTTTTAAAAATACATTTACAAACAACCTCCAGCTGCTTATGTGCTTTTCAAAATATAAAAGTCCCTTTCTCTATTTTATGGTCAAATGGCCTACAGCAATTCATTTGACCAGCTCCTTGCTGTCAGGCGCTGTCTCTCACTATGTGTTTGCACAGAGCCTCGCACAATGGGGCCGCAATCTCAGTTCACATCTCCAGCCACTACTATATTACAATTTAAAAAACCCCAACAATAACAATAAACGTTCATAATTATTTGCACTTCTATAGTGCCTTCCATCCAAAGATTGCAAAATGCTTTAAGGACCTCAATGACTTAATTTAAAAAAAAAAACCTACACGAATAAAGGATTACCACCTTCCTTTTATAGATGGGGAAACTGAGGCAAAGAGAGGGAAAGGTCCAGATCCTCAAAGGTGTTTAGGCACCTAACTCCCATTGAAAGGTGGGAATTAGACATCTAAATACCTTTGAAGATCTGGGTCTAAGTGACTTTTATCCAAAGTCAAACAAGAAGTTAGTGGCAGAGTCAGGAATAGGAGCTGGGTCTTTTGACACCACAATGCCACTTGGGCCCTCTTAAAGGGTAGTTTAGTTGGAATGCACAAAGGAATCCCAAGTGGACTTAAAAAAAAAAAATCTTCCCATCCTTTTTCTTTTGCTAAAAGCACTAAATATACAACTCTTCCTTTTAAAAAAGGATAAATATATAAATGGACATACACAACCTATTTTGTAATCTAGTAGGTGTGTTTTCTGCATCATTAACCAGAGTTAGATGCAGAAGAAATCCAAAACTACCTGGCTGCATATTGGCATCTGAGTCGGGTGTGGCCTAAAGCAGATTTCAAATACGTGCCAGGACTGAATTCAGAAATCAATTCTTAACGTACGATCCAGTCTCACTGTTCTGATTGGGGCCAAATCAATTTGAGCTCAGTGGGAGTTTTGCATGTGTAAAGCTGGCTGGATGAGGCCACTTTATATCTAGTTCATCAGCAAAGATGCAGCCACCGTCTGAGTGGTAGTGGGCAGGGACTGGTTAGTGTCACAGTGAAGTGGAGTGATGTCTCACTATAGGGCTATCTGCTCATGTTGATGTTCTGTGTTCAGGGGCGGCTCTAGGCACCAGCAAAGCAAACACGTGCTTGGGGCAGCCCATTTGCAGGGGTGGCAGGGATCCAGCATGGGAGCTGAGAACCAACAAGGGGCCCTGGGAGCTCCTTGCCTATAGAGCCAGCCCTCGAGCAGGGAAAGAACTACACTTCCCAGCATTCCCTTGGCCACTACCAACAGGAAAGAGGGGGAGGGAGTGAGGTAGCTGAGACCTCATGCTGCAGTGAATGGAGAGCTGCACTGGGAAGGTAGGGATACCATATTTTAACATTCAAAAAATAGGACACTCCGCGGGGAGGGAGGGTAGCCCCACCTTGCCCCTATCCACTCCCCCCACAGAAACCCCAACCCATCCAACGCCCCCTGCTCCCTGTCCCCTGATCATCCCCTCCCGGGACCCCTGCCCCTAACTGCCCCCCAGGATCCTACCCCCTATCTAAGTCTCTCTTCTCCTTGTCCCCAACCGCCCCCTCCTGAGACTTCCCCCCCTAGGACCGCATCCCCTACCTGTCCCCAACAAACCCCCGGGACTCCCATGCCTATCCAACTGCTGCCTGTCCCCTGACTGCCCCCCCCCCCAACCCCTTGACCCATTTAACCCCCCCTTCTCCCTGCCCCTGACTGCCCCCCCGAACCTCCGCCCCATCCAATCTCCCAGGCCCCTTACCGTGCCACTCAGACCAGCGTGTCTGGCTCCACACCGCGCCAGATACACTGCTGCATACATGCTGCCATGCTCCCCCCGCAGAGCCACAGCCCCCCCCCCCCCAGCACCTGCCTTCCAGGTTTGAACACCTGGAAATTCAGGAGTGCTCAAGCTCAGTTTGGGCAGCTGTTACTTCATTTCTCCCAAATCAAATATACTGATCCACTGTAACTTGCTGTAGAAAAAGTAGGATAAAATTGAGCAAGAAATGCTTCCCAGTGGTTATAAGGACTGGAATTGCTATTTTCAACAGCCATTGCCTTTTTTGTTTGTTTGTTTGTGTAAAAGGAAGACAGTGATATTGCATTGGCAAATTCGCCATAGAAAGAAAGAGAGGAACAAAAGAATAATAAAGGCACCTCAACTTTTCTTCATTTATGTAGGACAGTCTTATAATATGCATCCAGATATCCTTCAATCACACAAGCTGAAAATTGTCCCACTTTACTGCAGTTCTGTAACCATATGGGAACCAATCCTGTCTGTGTTCTGTGCACATCTAAAATTCCTGCTGAATGACCCGCCCTGGGAGCGAGTTACCAGTGACCCAGGGCTGGGGCAGCAGGAGGGTGCAGGTGGGGGTGGGGTGGGGAGAGAGCACAGGGCTGGGGCAGCAGGGGGGTCTGGTGAGGAGCCCAGGGCTGGGACGGGGGGCAGACAAAATTTTTTTTGCTTGGGGCGGCAAAAAACCTAGAGCCGACCCTGTCTGTGTTGTTACTTCTGGGCCACGTAAGCTGCTGTCTCGGCCACTTTTGGGCAACGGGGGACCTCGGAGCTTCACACAAGGAGGAAAATATTACTTCAGTCCTGTGCAAAGCGTGAGTTATTGATAAAAAGAAGGCTCCAACATTAGTAGCTGCACTGGTGCTGGAACCACCAGAATAAATAAGGGCTGGACTGAGCCTTTACATCTTGCCCTGTGTAAAGTAATAGTGTAGCTGGACTACCTCAGAAACAGCCCAGGGAGGAACTGACTCTCCTCCTCAGGCTTCCCCTTTGCTCCTTGGGTTGTGGGAGTAATTTACTTCACAGGGTGCAGGGTTTCCCCCTTTTTTGGGCCAGCTCTGCTGGCTGCCTGGGGTTTGGAACCAGGGCCCTATCAAGTCCCTGATCTCCACTCATTACCTGCCCACCTACCCTCCCTGCCCATTGCTTCCTCCCTCCTCCCCTGTATACAGAGTTATGATCTGAGAAAGGTAAGCAGGGGGTCACATCCCCTTATGTTGCAGGGGCCAGTTAGAATCTAGAAAGAAAGAAGGAAACAAAGAAAGACAGACATTTGGCACAGAATCCCATGCTGCATCAGTGCCTTTTAATGTAGCATCCAAAAGAAATATCTCAACTCAGATGCAAGCAGTGAATGAAATTTCCCCTGTCATCGCTGCACTGAAATGCACTTGTCCAAAAGGCAAATTTATGAAACAAGATGACATAGATGAGTGACATTAAAAGAAAATGTGTTTGTCTCTCATACAGAGTCACATAGGAATTGTTCAAGAACTGGGCATTATTGCCAAAATACTACCACTGCAATGCTGGTACAATTGCTGGTCCTCCAAGTTATGGGTGTCTATGGGCCAGTCTCATGATGACACCTAACTTTACTAAGCACTTTTGAAATGTTTCTTCCAGTCAGTCAATCTTTTCCTTTCCTTATTACAATTGCATCCCTTTATGTTCACTCCTTGTTGCATGCAGACAAATAGATATTGTTGAATTCTTAATTTCATATAAGTTACAGAGGAGAGGTGCATTGCAAGGTGTCTCTGCTGAAATGATACAAGGGAACAGAAATTAACTGCACTGGCAACCAGGGGGACAAAGGTGGCTGGACCAGAGAATCTGACCTCATGACTTTAAAACCCTTTGCATAATTTTTACCAAAGTTTCCAGAAAGATGATACTATGAGGTAGCATCCAAAATTTCAGGAAGATTGGTTTCTTTGTGTGGGAACTTGGTAGTGGGGTTGAAAATCAGGTTTATAATGGAAAGCTAGCAGCAAGCTTAACCATGGAACAACTACTGCAACTTTATAATACACACACAATGCAAAACATACCAGCTAATCATCAGAAACCTTGATAGATAGTCTTACCTCTAGGTCCCATGTCTCCTTTGGATCCTTTCATTCCTGGTTCACCTTTTGGACCTTGAATGCCAAAATGCCTACTACTTTCACCATGTTGGCCTCTAAACCCTAGGTGGAAAATATCAGAGAGCTGATGCCTTTGTCAATTTCTGAAGAAAAGAGCATGACACGTATTACATGCAATCACCTTCAAAAGTCAGTGAAACATTCCATGTAAAGTACCCGATTGTGTAATCATCTATTTGCATAATTTAATACAGCAAGTGCTTTACCTGAATTTCCCTGTTCTCCCTTTGGTCCTGGAATGCCTAAAGTCATCAAAACCAAAATAAATAAGTCAAATAGATATTTTCACACTTTTAAGCTTCCTCAAGCTTACATTTATAGTCAACTTTTCAATTAATGCAGATGGGAAGGCACGTTGGTTCTCCAGCTAATGGTTAATGAAGTGGATAAGGCACGTGCAATATATTAAAATAAGAACTTATTAACCTAGGAAGATTGGGTTTTCAGATCCAAGTCTTAGAGGATAAGTGGACCTTTCACTGCTAACATACCTAAATTGACCCTATGTGCCAGATACACAGCTGGGGTAAGTCACAGTAGCTCCATTAATGTCAACAAAAGGAAATTGGAATGGGTTATCTTAACCTGCTGCACTTTATGTTTTTAAGTTATATCAAAAGGTGCCTCTATGGACCCTTGGCACAGCTACATAAGTATCCTGCCATGGCAGCCTGGCAGAGCTCCATGTCCACTACTAAAAAAAGAACAGGAGTACTTGTGGCACCTTAGAGACTAACAAATTTTGGAACCTTAGAGACTAACAAATGTCCACACTTGTAGGTCCATACTCCATGAGTCCGTCATGCATGGGATTGAGCATACTGCCTCCTGGCTTGAGCTGGTCATTCATTCCCGTGCATCCCCCTATTCGAATAACTTGCGTTGCTGATGCTGAACTTGTCTTGTTTTCCTTTACCTGCTACTCCACTCTGTCCCTTTTCACCTTTAGGTCCCCTCTTTCCTGGGATTCCTGACTTTTTTTTTTTAATAAAAAAAAGGGTGCATGGATAAAAAATACCTAGCAGGATATTATTTTACTAAATTAAAAATGCTGGTAGCTATGTGCCCTTCTCCCCTCTCTGACTAGGCATGCCATTTAAACCAGGAAGTCCCCGGGCACCAACTTCTCCATTTAGACCTTAAAGTTGAACAACAACAAAAGTGAAGTACAAAGAACTATAAAGGATAAAGGAACCAAAGTAACATAACATTTCTCCAGGGGCTGATCCTCTACTGCCCCACACCTTGTGTAGTCATCTATTCCTGTGCAGAGTGAGAGCAAAGTGGGTGTAAACTGCTTCCACGTTGGAATCCTCCACTCGCTTTCACTAGTGGTATCATTTTATAACCAACTTTGCAGAGTGGAAATGAACATACAAAGTGAAAGGCAGTGGAGAATCAGGTCCATACAGCATTTCAGTCTGAAGGATCCCAAAGCACTTTCCAAAATTTAGGTCAAATTCTGCCCTGGGATGCACACACATGGGTCACATTGACTTCAATGGGAGTGATGTGTATAGAGCCAAAAGGAGAATATGGCCCTGTAAACTCACACACAAATAAATTAGGACTCTATGGAAATTTAATAGGATTCTATATAAATTGCTCAAAATCTATAGATGTTAACAGAAAAGAAGATCTTTTCTATAGACTTTCTAAGTCATCCCATAGAATTTTAGAGAAGGGATATAATTCTGCAGGATAGTTCACAAAGCCCAGAGAAAGGATAGCAGCATCTACGAGGACTTTTCCATAGGGGTAAAGAACACTCCATCCATATGCACCTGCAGGGGAAATGTTCATAGACAGAAAGCATTTACCTGTGTTGCAATTTTTCCAGGGTACTATGGGACAGATTTGCCTTTCATTTACACTGAGCTAAATCAGGAACAACTCCATGGAGTTACTACAGTGTGAAACTGTTGCTAGCAGGATACTCAGTATCAGTATCTACATATCTAAATGCCATGATGAGTCAGGCCATGAAGCAGGGGAGACACCATATGAATTTAGAATTAGACAAAAGGGGCCTGATTCACCACTGCATTATTCCAGTTTGACACTGGTGTTGCCTCAGTGGAGTGAAACTGGTGTGAAAGTGGAGTAATACAATGGCGAACCAGGCCTTAGAGGATTAGAAAGGGACTTACTGGGTGAAATTCTGGGACCCGTGTAACAGACTGACAATTTCCTGCAATATCGTAAATGAATTTTATTGAATGAAGTTAAACCTTATTGAATTAGTTTTAAAATATTTGAATTCCTTGTATTAAAAATGCAATGGTGCATGTGTTATTGTGGAATTGTATGTATTTTCATACAGCTGGGGGTAATTACACAAATTCACTCAGGTTGTAAAGAAACCCCCCCCCTACCCCCCCGGGAGAGATACATATACTAATTCAACCTAGATTCTCCAGGGACTGACCAACAAAGGAAGGATTTTTGAATAAATAGCCTAGTTTTAAACTGGCGCATGGCCTTTTTCCTGATCCAGCAAATGGACGGACCCTAATCCACAGTAGGCCCCAATCTTTCGGGTAGGGTTGGAAGGACTGGCCCTGCAGAATCCATGTTAGGGTTGGGGTTAATTCTGTTAAATTTATTAGCATGCACGTTGGTTCTTTTATGTTTTAATGTGTTTTCTCTGCAATGCGTTATCCCTTAAGAATAAAGTGCTGTGTGGTAACTTATAACTATCAACAATCATTCTGTTATCAGTCTCTGAAGAAAAAGCAAGCAGGTGGCCTTGGTCAATCTATCTGTGCTGGGAAATACACAGTGAAGGCAAGGAAGTATGCAGCCTGGGAATACCCGAGTCAGATGGTCTCCACCCAGAAAGGCAATGCCTGGGGAACTGGAAGCCGGAGAGTGGATGCCTTTGCTGAACCATCGAGGGGAGACAGAGGTGCAGTTGCCCTGGACTGTGATTGCCTATGATATGCAGGAGGTCAGAAAAGATGGTCGTAATGGGCTCTCCTGACTTTAAAAATCTATGAAAAATATAGAACAAAAGATCCTACTTCTCCTTTCACTTACACCCATTTACAGCAGTTTTACACCCGTGTAACTCGACTGAGTTCAGTGGAATTACTCTTCAAGTCCAGTGGTGTATGTGAGACAACAGGCCTTGAATCTGTAGCTTGCTGTGGGATTGGAGGGAGGGCCGATGTGTTTATAAGACTCTTCCTTGGTAATTGGGACAAATGGACATTTCTCAGTTACAATGATGGTGGGTTTGAGTTTCTTTTAAATTAGACTTTCAGGGCCAATCCACTACGGCTGTTAATTGACCTCGATTAAGTTAGAGCCGATTTACACCAGCTGTGGACCTGCCCTTTTTTAATGAAATGCACCTTTAAGTGTCATACCAACTTTTCTTTTTGACTGGCTTACCTGCCTCTCCTTTCTGTCCTGGAAGCCCTGGTGCACCCACTCTACCTACAATACAATATTGGTATTAGCATTAGTGATATTTGTACAAATCATTAAACATGGCATCTCCCCTTTCCTCCACCAGCCCCCTGCCAGATTTGGCTTTCTGCCTTATTAACTTACCATTTAACCTGACTAACCTGCATCTCCCTTGTTTCCAGGAACACCAATTGATCCTTTGGGGCCCATCTCTCCCTTCTTACCCACTTCACCTTTACTTCCTTGAAGACCTATTTAACAATACAATGAATGTGTGTGAATCAAAGGGTTGGAGTCAAATCTGTCTCTCTCTCTCCCATCGGCTCTAACAGCAACAGCATCTGGGCCTGGGTCTGCCTTTCTAGATCTGACATTTCCAGTTGGTAATCAAGATACTTATGACAAAAGAATGCAACAAAATAATACAAAAGAATGCAACAAAATATTTCGGAAGTGATTGCAATCCCCTCCTTCCCTGTTCTGTTCCAGCATTTTCCCGAGATTCCTTGAATTGTTTAAGATCCGTTTTGCCATTTCTGAGCCAGACCCTCAGCTGGTGCAAATCAGTGGAATTCTGTTAAATAAATAGAACCCTACTGATTTGCACCAGCTGAGCAGCAATGCTACATTTCCAAATGTTTTGTGTATAATCATCATTCTCCGCTCATATGTATCACTTCCACTGGTTTCCACTCTCCACCCTGTTTTCGGCTCATTCTCCCTGTCCACATCTCAGACGTGGCTGATGAATACCAATGTAATGCAAGTTACACAGGTGAGAAACACTGCCTAATTCTTCTGTTTAACTTACACAAAACTCTAGCTTATATGGGGTTTAAACCACTCAGAGGCAGGCTTTTCTATCACTCTAACCAACCAAACCTGCACATGATTGTGCATTTAAATTGAATTGTATTCGTTTATACCATATAAATCCTTCTGTAAACACCACTGTTATAATCAGGGATGTGCTGATAATTTAATACCTGCTTCTTTCATTACACATATATATCCCCAAAAGAGAATATAAAAACTCAGAGTAATGAGTCAGCATTTCTGGAGGACCACCCTCGTTGGTGCACTGGCATAGCAAGAAACAAAATGGCACCCCACAAATAAGGCAAATAACCTTCATCCATCCAATCCCTTTATAGACTGGTAACCCCATGGTCAGAGATATCTGAATCTTTGTGGAAACAACTCACAGAGTAATAATACATTTTACACTGTAAATGGAAAAGACTGAACTAGGAAGGCATGTGAAATTATTAAAATTGCATAGGTAAAAATAAGCAAATTGTCTTACCTGTAGGCCCCCTATCCCCTTTCATTCCTGGTTCACCTTTTGGACCAGCAAGGCCCCTGTCCCCTTCACTTCCATCTTCACCCGGTAGTCCTCTAAAACCTGGATGAAAAATACCAAACTTCTATTGCTTTGTTGCTTTGACCATCCTATGACAGACCCATTACACACACTACAAAATGCAATACCAATATAAGAGTCAAATTCTGCTCTTGTTGTAGATCCAGAGTGACTCCGAAGATGCCAATGCAGTTAATTTTGAAATAGATATCTGTCACTGAGGGCCAAATTTGGGCCTCTCTGTGTAAATTCAGTACTGGCCGCTGGATTCTATTCTCATTCACTGGTTTTACTTGGGTTTATTTCTGCTAACTTCAATGGAGTTATTCCTGATTTACACAGGTGTGACCAAGAGCAAAATCCATAGTAGCAACACAATGAAGGAAATGCATTACCTTGGACTCCTCTTGTCCCCTTTGGTCCTTCTATTCCTGAAATCCCAATACGTACATAATAATAATGATGAATGGACATGAAAGGCAGATATTTTTGAGCCTATGCAATCCACCGGTATTGGGCCAGGTTCTCAGCGGGTGTAAATGGATACAGTCACTCCACTGACGTAAATGGAGCCATGCTGATTTACACTAGCTGTGAAACTGGTCCAACTATCTATGAGCCAAATCTTGCTATCCTGGCTCAAAGACCGAGGTCAGTGGGAATTTTTCCCTGAAAAGGCACTGAAATGTATAGGCAGCGAACTGCAGGATTTGGCCTGAAGTTGTACTTCATTGTTGTAAATCATGCTGCACAGCAAGGAAGACGCGGATGCTTGATGTTTAAAATGCTTGTTTGGCATAAACGTAGACAAGCACCACGGATGGATGAGATGGGGGAGCAGCAGAGCGGACTTGCTGCCTGACTGGCTGTGGGGGCCCTTACCTAGTGAGACTGGTGCGGTACCAGTGCAGAAAGGCTTGGGGTCCCCAAGCCGGGGGGTAGCAGTCTCCCTGCATTCAGAAACATCTGATGTGCATGAGCATTCTGCTCCCCAGCGAGGAGCCTTGGGGAGAACGGAGGGATGAGGGAGAACCTGGTCAATCCATGGTTTGCCATGGTCCTAAATGGAGGACCAGGGCAGCGACCACGGGACTACAAATGTTGTGAGTGCAAAGCACAGCCTGCGGGATAATTCCTTCCCCAGCATGTACCATTTGGGCTGTGCAATAGCTCCAGGATTTAGTCCTAATGAAAGGCCACATTCCGATTTCATTTACACTAGTGAAAAATTGGGAATAAATCCATACACTTTAGTGGAGTTACTCCCAATTTATCCTAGTATAAATGAGACCAGAATCTGGTCTGAAGACTGGGTCTCCAGGAACAGGACACACAGGACAACTGGATCGTACGTTGATTACAACATACAAATTTTAGTGTGCATCTTATAGAGCAGTGGCTGATCAAATTATGTTGTATCAGTGTGGCTCTATCAGTAGGACTGTCATCTCTGAGACAGAAAGTTAAGTTACCCTCCAGTTATGACTTATGACCCATAAAACACCATGTAAATCACTTAGATTGCTGCTGCTTGTCCTGGTTTTACCAAACTTTGTGTATTCAGTTCTTTGCTTAGCTCTTCGTTTACTTTTTAGGAGGTGCTGCTACTAATCCTTTCTTACCTGCTTCTCCCTTGTCTCCCTTGGCACCTGGAGCTCCTACTCCTCCAGGTATCCCTAAAATATCAAAGGAAATATGTGGCTTGAGCATTATGTAGGATAACGTTTGTACAGTGGCTGTAAAGGTTAGTAACTCAGTATCTGGAGTTCCATCCTTTCCAGATGAACCTTTCTCCCCTTTCTGAGCACCCCCAGGGCCAGAAAGACCTCCAGCACCCTTTTCTCCAGGATTACCTTGAAATTGAATTGGCAAAAAATTAACATGGATTCTTTTGTGAAGACTGAAACCACAGCTCCCAAACCAGTAAACTAACCGAAAAACACACACAAAACCTGCAGCTACAGAAGTTCGTCACACCTTCCTATTTGTTTTCTACAAGTGAATGGGGTGAAATGCAGGGAATATCAGAAGCGTTATAAAGGACAATGCGCGGGATGTATTCAGAGGTGGATTACAGTTTTGTGGGGCCCTGGGCCAGAGCAAGTGGCCTCTCCCCCATCATCCCCCCGTGCTCCTGCCAGGGAGCAGGGTTAGGGTGCGGGGGCTTCCCCCACTCCCTGGCAGGAGCGCTGAGCGGGCGGAACAGGTGCGCAGGGTGCCCATTTTTCCGGGGGCCCCACTGGATACATTCACATTCTCAGAGTTTGCAGTGGGAAGCATGTGCTTAAAAACCATTTCAGGTTTAAAAACAGTGGCCAAAATGTTCACATCCGAAGTGCTGAACTTTGGGTATCTCAATCCATATTTAGGCACCAAAATCAAAGTGCCAACGGGAAGTCTGAGAATCAGGGTGTTTTTATTTCTATTTGTTCTGATGATGCAAGGGAGGGTTCATTTCCACAACTTACCCTTCTCTCCTTTCTCCCCAGGAAATCCAATACCTAAAATACAAATACATCCACTTTTGTTCTCCTCTGCTTGTCTACATTGTTACATATGTCCCCACCCCTCTGAGTTTTATGTTATTTGCTTACCCTTTGACCCCGGTTCTCCTTTGCTTCCAGCTGGTCCTCGGGGACCCATGTCTCCCTTCTCACCTTTTCCTCCTAGAAGATGGATTTGACAGCATAATGAACAAGTGTAAATTAAAGGCGGTGACTCACTGAATTGAACAACAACATTTCCATTGATTGTAATGGGACCAGGATTTGACCATAACTAGGACCAGAGCCTCAGCTGGGTGTAATTTGACATAGCTCCATTGAGTGCAATTGAATTATGCTAATTTACATCCAATGAGAATCTGGCCTTGTGTATATTTCAGCATGTAGCCAACAGGAGGAGTAAGCACTTGAAAACTTGAAATCCTTTTCACCTTGACTTCCTTTCTCCCCCTTGGCACCTGAGTTGAACAGAATAAAGCCTTCATTTCAGGCAGGCAGAGATAACTTGGCTAAGAAAAAAGGTTGCAAATATAGGCACTAGTTAGACACCAGTTTGAAGTATAAGTCTTGGGGAGATTGAGGAACAGACAGTCAGTGTTAGAAAAGGGAAGCAGGGTCTCTCTTAAAACGCCATGTGAATTCATCTAGGAGAAGTAATCTTCACATCTGGGGAATTTTAGGAGCATGTGCAAACCCCGCCCCCTCAAGTCAGTGGGCCCAATCCAGCTCCCACTGAAGTCAATAGATGTATTTCCATTGTCTTCAATGGGAAATGCATGAGGACCTTATTCAGCTTGTCTACTGCAAGAACAAGTGCCAGAATGTGGGGTGCAATCCTATGAAAGGCTGAGGCCCCTAGTGCCATGTGGGAGCTGCTCAGCACTTTGTAGGATCACACCTTAATCACATAGGAAAACTGGCCTGTTGTATTACTCGTTGTGGACTAGATGGAGCCTGTAGGCTCAACCCTGAGTAAAAGGTGCTGTGAAATTACTCTGCAGCGGTGGCTCCCACCCGGTTCCCATCAGTTCCTCCCCTGGTCCCATCCAGATTCAAGAAGGGAGGAGAGGATGAGTAAGTTACTGATAAAGCTCTTGATAAAATACAACTTACTTCTCCCATCATGTCTGCCCAGTTACCCTGGCTAGTGAACAGCAGCAGGGAGGGGAGACAGAGTTGAGATTCTACTAGCTCCCAGCTTCTCCTCACCCACTTGCTCAGAATGGGGAGTATCCAGAGAACAGGGACTACGCTCTGCACCCAAGCCAGACTCCCAGCAGGCCATACGAGGGGGTGTGGGAGGAGCTTGACTTCAATGGGACCATTCACGTGCGTAAAATTATGCAGGGTAATTACATCTTTGCAGGAGTGGGGCCCAAATGACTTATTGAATAGGGCTCCAAAATCTAACTTCCGATTCTGTACAGAGCAGGGGAAGGGAGAAGGAATGAGAGAGAGGGGAAGCTGTTCATTGCTCAAATATTTACTTACCTGGAGGACCAGGTTCTCCTTTGATTCCAAGTTGCCCTGAAATGGATATTTGATGTGCATTTTTAAACTGTCAGCACTCAATCGTTGATTAAACAGTACGTTAACAAATTTAGCTCTGAGTTGAAAACGTCACCCTCCCTGCAGGAAGACTAGAAGTCCTAGAGAGGCCTGAAAAAAGTCTGAGCAACATTATGTGGGTGTGCTGGGGGTAGGGGGGGGGAGGGGCTGGGTACAGGCAGCCCACGCCCATTCCAGCACAGGAAATAGAATCTAGCTGCAACGAAGTGGGACCACAAAAGGATGCGCCAGCCTGGGCTCCATACTTCCACCCTATGCATAATCTTATCCAATTCTTCTTATTCTCTGGATAAATTCATGGAGGTTAAGGCCATTAATGGCTATTAGCCAGGATGGGTAAAGAATGGTGGCCCTAGCCTCTGTTTGTCAAAGGATGGAGATGGATGGCAGGAGAGAGATCACTTGATAGCTACCTGTTAGGTTCATTCCCTCTGGGGCACCTGGCATTGGCCACTGTCGGTAGACAGGATACTGGGCTAGATGGACCTTTGGTCTGACCCAGTATGGCCGTTCTTATGTTCTTAGAGCCAGATCCTCAGCTGGTACAGATCATCATAACTGCATTCATTTTTTGTGGCAGCCACTGTCTACTACTCTGTGTTTATACAATGGGGCCCTGTTCCTGGTTGCTCCTTAAGTATTACTATATTTTCACAGCAGTGCCTCTCTCTCATATCGTGCTTTTCCTCGGTAGATTTCAAAGCCCTGCACTTTGCAATCGTTAACGTATTTATCTTCACAACACTCCTGGGAGGCAGGGCAGGACTGTTATCCTCATTTTACACATGGGGAACTGACGCACACAGAGGCTAAGTGACTTGCCCAAGATCACACAGAAAGGCTGTAGCAGAGCAGAGAACTGACTCCAGGTCTCTCAAGTCCTAAGGCTAGTGCCCTAACCACTGGACCATCCATAATAATGAGTCAAGTTAATGGAGCTACACCATTTACATGAGCTGAGGATCTCCCCCCACCCCTTCAACCTTAGAGAAGGAAACTGGAGTTTCCCATAGGGACCACTGAATTGTGCATTTTCTATTTAAAGAAGGCTTTGACTCTTGTACAGCACTATCAGGCTTTGAGATTATGAACAAAATATGACAGTCAAAAAGATAAGGTGAAGCGGAGAGATACCTGCAGCCAGTGTGATATTGTTCATCCTCATCAATAAATTGTGGTTGCTGACCCTAATGGTGTCGATTTCCTCTTCTAAGCTTTCGATCAATGTTTCTTCATCTTTGGTGTTCCTTCTGTAAAAGCTTCTCTCTGGAAGAGTTTCATTGTAGAAGGGGATGACCAGTTCCTCTGGTAAATGAGAGTCGTCTTCTCTTTGGATTTTGCGTATTTCCTCCTGCATGTTAAACACTGGGAAAATGGAAGGCATCAGGGAATAAATATTCTCAATCTCCTTCTATCATCCTGGGAAATTCCTGCTCTACAGGGCAATTTCTATTGACTAGCCCTGAATTCCTGTAAAACAGACACTTCTTTCTTGCACAACAGGTAGAATGTAACCTGAAACCGGGGCGTATGTACTGGGCACAGCTCAGCCATGCCTCCGCTGCTAATCTGGCTACACTGGTGTTTATACTCATGCTAGCTCAATGAGAGTACATTGAGCAGGGCAATACACCCCTAACTTAGTGCAGAGAGAGCCATTGGCTCTCATCGATTTATGTAGGCATTTTTAGTACGCCCTTCATTATTGTATCCAGGTGCCACATATGCCTGGATATGTGGCCAGATATGCAACATATCTAAATGTGCATCTGGGGGGGGGGGGAAAACAGTTTCTAATAGAGGGAGCCTTCATTCTTAGAGTGCTCGGGATCATCTACTGTCCTCCAAAAGTTTCTCTGAGGAACTGAAGGAAGGCGGACTTATCCTCTGCTCTTCATGGCACTCATCCCTTACCCCCCTGAAACATTGAGATCAGCTTCCTGGCATGAGGAGAGAGTGCACAAAACTCTCCCCATCCTGTAAACACACTCGTTCTGTGTGTCCTCTTTAAGAACCAGCCCTGAGTGACAGATGGGCAGAACAACTGTTTATAGGAGTGATATGGATTGCTCTTGGATATTAGCTGGGTAATGCTTAAATAGTCTACCTGGCTGTCTATTTATAATGCACTGATCATCACAGTATCTTAACTGGCTGAGCGAAGAAGGACTCTCCCAGGCAGGAAGAAAAAAGATATGAGAATGGTGGGAAGGAGGAGGAACTGAGGAACGGGGGACACACAAAGCACTCTGGAATGTGGGACAATGGTATGGAGGAGGGACACGTGAGAGACTCAAAGAGCCTCCTGGCATATGGCAGAGATGGAATGGGGGGCACTCAGAGCCCTTCCCATGGTGGGAAGGGGAGAATGAAGAGGAGAATGAGGAACAGTGGTATGGGGGCACACAGAGCCCCAGGCATGATGGGAAAATGGGGGACACTAGAGGGAGAGGGGGATGGGGCACACAGAGCCCCTGGCATGGGGAAGAGGGGAACATGGAGTCCCATGAAATAGAGGGGTGGAAGAGTGGCACACAGGAGCTTGCTGGGGCAGCGACTGGAGGGATGCACAGAGCCCCTGGTCTGTACTGTATGCTCAGCCTATTGAAGCATGCAGCCCTCTAGGATGGCGTATTGCAAAAGCATCAGGCGCAGATATGTTGCTAATCATTACAAGCATCTTTGGATTTCAAGGCTTGTGGTTTTACCTTTTATCGCCAATAGTCCCAGGCCTAGAGTTAGCGTCATTAAGTAGATTGCCAGTGCAGTCCAAACACAGCATGCAGAAGGCTTCTTCTTGCTTTGTGGTTCTAAAGTCCAGCAGAAACAAGACAAATTTCCTTTCAAATCGTGTTCACTGTGACATCCTCTGTTCATTTACAGCACACACATTTCTTTGGCCAATTCTGTGCAAATAAAGTATTTGTACCATTCTTGAAACACGTGCCTTATCTACACTTGCAGGGGCATGTAGCTGCTGGGAAAAGCAAGCTGTGTGCACACTACAGTGTGTAGTTACACGCAACAGTGAAAAGCTCTGGCACCGGGGAAGTAGCAGGAAAAGGGTCTGGCAGGGGGGAGCTCCTGGAGTCTTTCTCCGCCGCCTCCCCCTGCCAGAGCCTTTCCCCACTGCAAAAACCATTCACTGTGGTGGGGCAAGGCTCTGACAACATAAGAGCATAAGGTCAGGAAGATTCCTGTAATAGAAGGCACTGTACACAGAGTTACAGTAGGAGAACTTGGTTGGTACTAAAAGGGGAGGAAGTCCTGTGAAAGGGCTTTAATTTTAGAAGCTACAGTATTAAAAAACACCACACCGAACTTTTGAAGAATTGTTCTTCAAAACAGCTATTCCGTCCCCATCTGCACACACTAAAAGATCCAGAAGCATGTGATCCTGAGAGCAATTTACAAACTCTTAGTTAAACAGGAGTTTCATGCAGTGAGTGCTAGGATTGTACAGGCTGTAAGTCCAGGCAAACTTAGAACATAAGAATGGCCATAGTGGGTCAAACCAAAGGTCCATCTAGCCCAGTAACCTGTCTTCTGACAGTGGCCAATGTCAGGTGCCCTTAATTGAGTTTAGCGAAGTGTATGATGCTGAGTCATAATGATTAAAAGGAGCATCATCTTCATTAATATTACAATAGAATTGTTTTGAGTCAGCAACAGTGTTTTTATATTCACCTGCAATTCATAAATTTACATTTTTGGTTAGCTTTTGGTGATTTGAATATCTGAAATATTTTAGGCATTGAAATTTTACACAATGGAAATGTATTTAGATTATTTAAAAACCACCAGAAGAAAAAATTATTAGTATTTGCTGGAAACTATCTCCTCAGCATTTTTGGCTGGAAGAGATGTGTCCCAGATACATCTCTTGATTAATGTTCAGATACATTTAGGAGCAAAAGTCACAGTAAAAAGGCATTGCATATGTAACGCAAATAGATCAGCTATTTTCTTCATAGAACAGCCTAAATACTTATAAATCAATTTAATTAAGCAATAAAAGTACTTTACCATATAGTTCAAATGTGGTGGTACCAGATGAAGCAAACCTAATCTTGTCTGACATTGTGAGTATTTTGGTATCATTCGAAATTCCATCTTCATTGTTACTCTTTGGATTTTCCATGGTGAATTTTTTATAGTTAACCTAGAGTCCTGTCAGATTACAGACACCGAGGAAATAAGGAACTTTCTACTTCATCTGCTGAATTTATGTCATCTGCTATGCATTCCGATTAACTTGATTTTTCTAGACTTGCAAGATACTTCTGATGTGGTAATTTGATCAGTTCCTCAAAAATCCTATAACTAAGATGTTTAGCTTCTCCCTTGTGCTTATATTAGAACACAATCTGGATGGACCCTGCAGTTTGATCCTGCAAGGTGAACTCAATAAGAATAAACAACAAAGAGTCCTGTGGCACCTTTAAGACTAACAGATGTATTGGAGAATAAGCTTTCGTGGGTGAATGCCCACTTCATCAGATGCACTATTCAATAAGAATAGTGAATGCTCAACATCACTCAGATTTGCTTAGCACTTTGTAGCATTTGAAGCCTAAGTGGCCAACCCATATGCAGGTAAAACTCCCACTGAAGCCAATATGATGTTTGGTTGAACACAGACTTCAGGATCAGTTCCTTAGGGACAGAAGGCTAAATGTTGAGTGTTAACACAATAGTGTAGCTTGCACTGAAATGACATTTAGTAAGTGCGCAAAATGAGCATGATTGGGGAAGGCACTAACAGGAACGTGTAAGGGTATGTCTACACTGCAAATAAAAGAGGTGTTCTTACCTCGGGTTAGCTAACTCAGGTTAAAATAGCAGTGAAGACATCACAACTCACCTTTTAACTCCTTTAAGGTTAGCCTCTTGAATATAAGACTATAGAGGAGACTGGGGTTGAACGCAAGCTGCTAACCTGAGTTAAAAGCTGAGTTGCTGTGTCTCCATTGCTATTTTAAAAGGTGTGTTCCTAACTTGGGTTATTTGCAGTGTAGACATACCCTAAAACAAAGCAGGGGACCTGAAGATCACTGAGGTGGATTTCAAGTAAAAGGAGTATGTAGAGAAAGCTGGGAGGGCTGATTTCTCTTATACAGTCCTTTTAGCCCTCGTCTACACTTGCAGCGGCATGTAGGGTACATGTAGCTACACGCTGCAGTGAAAAGCAGGCTGCATCTACACTGTGGTGTGTAGCTACATGAGGTGGTGAAAGGCTCTGGAAGGGAGGAGGCAGCTCCCCCTTGCTGTCTGGCTCTGCCCTCCCAACCTTCCAGATCCACCGCCCAGTTGCATTTATGAGGGGTTTGTGTAGCCTTCCAGGCTGTACTTCCTTCCTTTGTGATACATTGGGGCAGGCTCTTTGCTCCTTTTCTCCCCGCCCCTCTACAATGCGGAACAGAGGGTTAATTAACATGGTGATAAAAAATGTGTCTGGCCATGAGAGCCTTATTTACAGTCACGCCCCCACCGGTGAACTGATGATAGCAGCATCAGTGTAAAACTCTTTAGTGTAGACTAGGTTGATCTGTGCTGAGAGCTAAGTTAGGTAAACAGGGCTCCTGGTTACCTACAAAAGGACAAATCTTATCGGCAAATATGAAACTGCTGAGGCATTCTGATTACTTACTGAACTTCACCCAAACCACTCCAAGGAAGTTCACATCATCTCTGCTAGGACTAATGCATTAGTACATTACTTTGTGAAAGTTTGGCCTAATGGGAGCAGCATCAGGCGTTTAAGTAATTACTTAAATAAGAAATGACAATAAGAGAAGGGCCACAGGGCACAAACGGATCTTTAGATGAAGGAGAATGCTGATCAAACCTTGCAACTGGGATGACAGTGATAGAGAAACATAATAAGAAAGTGATTTGCTAAAGGCTGCGTCTGCTGAGAATCACAAAACTCCCTATTTTTCAAATTCAAATACACCAGGTCTCATCGAATCAACATTACAAAAGTGGATCCTGAAAGCAAATGAATGGCAAATGCTTACGCCTTCCATTATTCAAGAGCATTACAACTCATTATCATCTAACAAGCTATTTAACAATATGTTTTAAAACACAAGCACACAATTAAGAAACAACTGTAAAATAGGACTAGAAGATTGGGAATCCTATAGGATTCCCAACTACCTGATGAGATTTTGCAGTACTCCTGGTCACTGATGTCTTTATTCTAGAATCCCAGTAATCAACCTATTGGTAACATTTTGCATATGGTAATTGTGGGATATGCATGAAACTATGATGCTTTCCCCCCTTTTTTTAAAATGCCATGTACTTGATCTCTACCTTTCTCAGAAGCCTGCCAGCATGGAGAGACAGCAGCCAGTTTGCTCTGAGAATTGCTGCAGCCCGTAGGGAGGAGGAACACACACTGTGCTCTCTCAGGGAACATAAGTCAAGTGGTTCTCAATCAGGGGTACATGGCTGAGGCATGTAGGCCCAAATCTGCAAGGGTATTTAGACACCTAGTTGCTGTTGAAATCACTGGAAGTTCAGTGCCTACATACATTTGAGGATGTGGGCCTTGGTCTCTCTGTGCATCAGTTCCCCAGCTGTAAAATGGAGATAACAGCCCTCCCCTACCTCACAGGGGTGTTCTGAGTAGGTGACCAGACGTCCCGATAAAATCAGGACTGTCCCAATATTTAGCTGTTTGTCCCACGTCCCAACCGATGTACGGTCGGGACGCAATTTGTCACGATATTTGGCGCCTGGCCGCCCCTGACCCTAGGAGCCAAAGGGACCTGCTGGCTTCTTCCTGGGAGCCACCCCTAGGGTGACCAGACAGCAAGTGTGAAAAATCGGGACGGGGATGGGGGGGGTAATAGGAGCCTATATAAGAAAAAGACCCAAAAATCGGGATTGTCCCTATAAAATCGGGACATCTGGTCACCCTAGCCACCCCAGATAAGCGCCGACCAGTCCCTGCCCCAACCCTCAGGTGAGGAGGCAAGCGGCGGGCGGGGCAGCCAGGGGCAATGGGGCATGCATGGCATGGCCAGATGCACATTGGTCCACCTGGTCCTGTGCTGCCAGCGTGGCCCTTCTTGTTGGGGGCGGGCCCACACAGCTCCCCCACCAACAGTCCCCAGACCTGCTATGCCCAGTGCCCCCCACAAACCTCCCCACAAATGCAGAGTGCCCCGAAACCACCACAACTGCCCAGAACCCCCCACACAACTCCACACTCCCTAGTTCCCCAACACACACAGATCTCCTCCTCCCCCGCAACCCAGTGCCCTTCCCCACAGCCCCCCCCACAACTACACAGTGCCCCACACAGACCCCTCTGCCCAGTGCCCTGACACACACAGATCTCCCCCACTGCCCAGCGCCCCCCCACAGACCCCCTACTGCCTAGCACCCCAAAACACACCAACCTCCCCCACTGCCCAGCATCCTCCACCCCATTACAGCCCAGTACCACCCACCCCCACAGACCTTCACAGACACTCCCCCACACCCTGCCCCCCTCCTCTTGCCACACTCACCCACTCTGCTGAGGGGGAGGTGACTTTCAGCTGGGCTCAGCCAGCAGCGTGGCCAGGGCTGGAACTGGAAAGTCACGGGCTGGAGCCGGGGCCCTGCCAGGCGCGCCATTTCAGATTTTGGTGTGTGTGTGGGGAGGGAGGGGGGAACAACTTTAGCCGTTATTCCAAGGGCTCCTTAGGCTCCTGAAAACTCTAGGGGTTTTTTTTGTAGATGGCTTAGAAGTTAGCTGACAGGAGAATTGTATCTAATTCCTATGTAAAAAAGAGGAGTTAATAAATA